GCCCAGGCCCAGAGTTCAGGCCCCATGAATGGACCCCCCCCCAAAAAAAATAATAATAATTTCAGTGAGCCATAAGCTCAGTGAGTCTGCTTCGGTGAGTCTGCAGCTGACCTTTCCTAGACCACTCTCTACCAGAATTGGCACATATTCTTGTGCTGGTCATACTGAAAATGAAATGCCTCTCCAATATTTTGGATGCTCATTATAATATCATTGCAGGAATTTTTTTCTTAGATATCTTTGTTAATTTACTTTTATCTTAATCATCTGAACTCCCTTGAAGAGCAGTAAGGGTCTTCCTGCTGTTTCTTTAAATGAAAAAAAATTCTCAGAGCCAATAGGAAGCAGGTTTTCACCCTTTTTTACATCAGTAAAGAAGACAAACGTGAACATTCTGGATAATAGACATATCCAAAGACACAGGCTGGGGCTGGGAAGGTGGCTCAGTGGTAGAGTGCTTGCCTTGCATGCCTGAGGCCCTGGGTTCAATTCTTCAGCACCACATAAACAGAAAAGGCCGGAAGTGTCACTGTGGCTCAAGTGGTAGAGTGCTAGCCTTGAACTGAAGAGCTGAGGAACAGCTCTCAGGCCCAGAGTTCAGGCCCCACGACCGACAAAAAAAAAAACAAAAAAACAAAGACACAGGCTGCAGAAAAGCAGGGACTAAAAACTCCAGCATAGAGGGGTAAGAAATGGCAGTAGTAGCACAGTGACTGGGACTCATTTTTTAAGTCTTTGCTGTTGTGATAGATGAAAGGTTACAGATTTAGATTTATACTCCCCAATTATCCCAAAATGGGGTATCTTTTATGTGTATTTTGTCTATCATTTTTTGTTAATTGAAATGTGCACTGATGTCCTTTTCCCCAGTTTCTTTTTCTTTTTAATTTACTGGAGCTTTTAGAAGTGAAACAATTTATTTTAGCTTCCTGTGGAACAGAAATAGTCTAATAGTTTTGAATTGATTAAAAAAAATTCTGGGCTGGGAAGGTGGCTCAGTGGTAGAGCGCTTGCCTTGAATGCATGAGGCCCTGGGTTCGATTCCTCAGCATCACATAAGCAAAAAGAAATGAATAAAGCCAGAAGTGGCGCTGGGGCTCAAGTGGTAGAGTGCTAGCCTTGAGCTGAAGAGCTGAAGGACAGTGCCCAGGCCTAGAGTTCATGCCCCATGATAGGAACCAAAAAAAAAAAAAAAAAAATCTGTGGGGCTGGGAAGGTGGCTCAGTGGTAGAGCGCTTGCCTTGCATGCATGAGGCCCTGGGTTCGATTCCTCAGCACATATGCAGAAAAAGCCGCAAGTGGTGCTGTGGCTCAAGTGGTAGAGCACTAGCCTTGAGCTGAAGAGCTGAGGGACAGCGCCCAGGCCCAGAGTTCAGGCCCACGACCGGATCCAAAAAAAAAAATCTGTATGGTGGATGCTGGTGGCTCATGCCTTTAATCATAGCTACTCAGGCTGAAAGGTGAGGATTGTGGTTTTGAAGCCCCAGCAGGAAAGTCCATGAGACTCTTTTCTCCAATTAAGCACCCAACTGTTGCTCAAGTAGTAAAATACTAGCCTTGAAAAAAGCCCAAGGACAGTTCCCAGGCTGAGTGCAAACCTTAGGACTGGCACAAAAAAAGAGAGACTATTTACTATATCAAGCAGTTTTTAAAGAAGGTTATTTCTAATCCATGGTAGGTTTAATAAAGAATCTCAAATATTGTGACTTTAAAAATTATTTAAAAATAGGGCTGGGAAGGTGGCTCAGTGGTAGATCGCTTGCCTTGCATGCATGAGGCCCTGGGTTCAATTCCTCAGCACCACATAATAAGCAAAAAGAAAAAAAGCTGGAAGTGGCACTGTGGCTCAAGTGGTAGAGCACTAGCCTTGAGCTGAAGAGTTGAGGGACAGCGGGAGGCCCATAGTTCAGGCCCCACAACCGGACCAAAAAAAAAAAAAAATATATATATATATATATATTTAAAAATCTACCGGGCGCCAATGGCTCACACCTGTAATCCTAGCCACTCAGGAGGCTAAGATCTGAGGATTGTGGTTCAAAGCCAGGCTTGGTAGTAAAGTCCATGAGACTCTTATCTCCAATAAACTACCAGAAAACCAGAAGTGGCACCGTGGCTGGAGTGGTAGAGCACCTGCCTTGAGCTGAAGAACTCAGGGACAGCGCCCAGGCCCAGAGTTCAAGCCCCATGATCAAAAAATAAATAAAAAAATTAAAAATTAAAATCATTAAAGATTTTTTAAAAAGAGAAATGACAGTGTTATTATAATTAATAAAGAGCAGCTGCGATGATCTCAGAATGGAAGAAATATAGTGCTTGACTATAGGTGTGATGATGTGATCAGAACCAATTGGGCAGAAGGTCAAAGGGTACTCTGGCCTATGCCCAGGGGCACATGGTCTCCTCGCCCTTACTATACCCTGTAGAGGAGCAAAACACTATGTAAGGCATGGTCACAGTCTCTGAGAATATATGTAAGAGAAGAGTACAGAACAGCTTTCAAGGACCTCATGATACACTTCACAGGTTTGGTGAAAATAACTGGAAGCTATTAATAAAACAGCCAAAAAAAAAAAAAAAAGCTTCATGTCAGACAAAAAGCAAGGAAGATAATCGTCCTAGACAACTGACCCAGCCATTTCATACGAGTTTCTTTCAGAGAACACATTAACATAGAAAACTATGCTTTTTGCTTTACATAGTCAAGCTTCAAAAACTATGTTTACAAGTCAAATGATAACCAGGAAAAACAGAAAGAGCATTTCATTTTCAAGAGTCAAGATACATATTCAACTATGTTTTAAAGTAGAATGACCACAAAAACCTTTATTTTTCTGGCATCTGTACAGTATCACACTACTTGCCTGTGTTAAGATATAACTCCTTCGTGCCTCTTCTATGTCAATTAAGCTGGCATTAATATAATCATTTTCAGTATTTTGCAGTTTAACACGACTATGATCATCTGAAAACAAAAAATGACAAACTATAATCATCATTGCAAATGTCATTGTGTCTTTATATGTTTTAATATATTTTTACATGAGGTGAAACAAAACAAAGCAAAAATAAATTAGCATCACAGGAAAGTTAAAGACAAACCTTAAATTATTCCTTATTTTTGTAAGGAAGTCAAAATATAATATTGTTACTGTGGTGTGAGAAGGGAAATGCTTACATTTGTAGAACATTAGCTACTGTAACTTTAAAAATTCACCCAGAGGGAAATGTAGAACAAATAAAGCCTTCCTAGAAATAAGAATCAGAAATAAGGCAGCTGGGGGAGAGGGGAGAATCAATCTGATTAATGTACTGCATATTAAATGATATCATACATCATATGGTAGTTGAAATAATACCATGGTGAAGCCCCTCTGAAAAATTAGCATGCACCTTCACAAAAACAAATGTTAGGAAAGTGAAACATGTCTTGTGTAGTACTAGTGAGAGGGAGGAAGTGAACAAAGAAGGTGAAGGAGGGTGAATATGGTCAAAATACCATAAAAACACTTTACATACATGTGTAAAAATAGAACAATAAGGCTTGAGATTGGTTTGGGAAGGGGAAAGGATGGATGAGAGAATAATGGACCAAGGAGTTGAGTCTGATCAAGGTATTCTGTATAATGATGAACTTTACCTATTACAAAGAAAAAATCTCATAGATTTAGAATTTATGCTAATTTAAATATCTGAAAACTTGACATTGTATTATTTATATAAGAAATACAAGAGAAAAAGCACTCAGCCTAAAGATTAATATTAACTTAGAATATTAAATATACAATTATCAGAAGTATAAAACAATTAGAAACTGAAAATAAATGATGTTTGATGTTTAATTCTTGAGAATATATCCTACTATGATGGCTCCCCTCAAGAAATCTACATTGCATATCTACTTTCTCTTCTTTTAAATTAAAAAAAAATAAATCTGCCTATACTATCTCTATATGAAAGGAAACATTAAATGACTTTCATTTCACACATCAATTTATCTGAGATGTTTCTGTTGGACTAAACCCAAGACCTCTGTAAATATTACATGTCATTTGCCAACAGGAAAAACTAAGATCTTGTTATAGTAAATCACATATACTAGTATTCTGGGAAAGATGATGTCAGCAAGCACTTTTTCAACAGACACTTTTTTTTTTTAAGTTTAATCATTCCAAAACTGTTACTTCATACAAGATAGTAAAAAAGACCAGCTATCTAACTGACAAAAGACCGTACATCTTCTAGATGTCATACCAACAGAATTATGCATTTTTTTAAAAAAAGAAAACTATAAAACTGTTAATTCAAATTCATTAAATATTACACTAAATGAACGAATTTCCTCATGTTGCAATCATAGAACACAAACCCAAAGACTACTCATATACACTGTACAACTGAAAACAGCCTTTGGCTAAAACACAAATGGGAAAATTTGTCTCACAGTACACTGATAATCTTGCTCTTCTGCAAGGAGCTTTCCAGGCCATGGCAGCTAGGAAGTATGCCTGAAGATCTAGCAATTTAGTTTCAGCAGTGTTTGTCACTTTGCCCTCTGAACTCTGAATTCACTGTTATTATCCTTCAGTTTTTAACATCTATACCATGTTATCCCAACACTTTATAATGCACCAATCATACACTGTGACTGTAAGCACAAATCCATTCCCTGAAACTAATGGAGTGGTGTGAGAGGCTACCTGAAAGCAGGAAAAAAAGTATGATGACATTTAAAACTAAGACAATTTAGATGACAATTTAAAAATATAATTCTTAGGAAAATCCTATAGTTGTTTAAAACAGCTAAAAATACTGACTAAACCTATATTTTGTTTTTCTCAGGTCTGACTGAAAATAAATTCAGAAATACACATCTACATCACTATGTTAGTTCTATTAAGACTGTATGACTTGGGGCTGGGAAGGTGGCTCAGTGGTAGAGCGCTTGCCTTGCATGCATGAGGCCCTGGGTTCGATTCCTCAGCAC